AGGGGGAGGGGGGAAATAGGGGGGAGGGGGGAAATAGGGGGGAGGGAGGGAAAGAAAGACAGACTGGCCACTAATGGCTCAGGTCTGTAATCCTAGCTACTCAGGAGGCTGAAATCTGAGCCTCAAGGTCCAAAGCCAGCCCAGGAAGCCCACTCTAACCTCTAATAAATCACCAAAAAGACGGAAGTAGAGCTGTGGTTCAAATGGAATTATGCTTTATTGTGCCTTGACAGGGAAAAACTGGACAGCACCCAGGCCCTGAGTCCAAGCCCCAGTAGGCGTGCGCGCCGCGCGCACACACACGCACACGGGCGCACACACGCACACACACACACACACACACACACACACGGATAGGAAAGAAATATCCTATTGAGAAATGTTGCAATCTTTCCTTCAAGGTTACTCTCATCCTGCCTGCCAATCAGATCTTGATTTCAAATGTTCAGGCTTTTCCAAAATACAAGGACACACCAGAAATCCAAGCAACAGCTCTGCACAAGTTCACCAAGATCATAAAAACCCAGTAATCCAGGCTTTCGGTGAGTGAAGCACACGTAAAGGACATCGATCATCTCTCTCCCTCTCGGCCGGATCCATCCACTTTTTTTGTTTTAATCCTTGGGTAAATTCCCGGTTCTCCCCTCATTGGATGGGCCTTCTCTACTCAGCCTCTTCGGGGGAGAGATCAATCACGAACGCCTTGCAAAGAAAATTATTCCACAGAGCGGAAAGCAAAATCTTGCATAATTTCTGGGACTCCGGGAGCCCGTGGCCTGCTCCCCGCCCCCCCTCTGAAGACTCCCAGCTTGGCGCTGGCCTCCGTGGCCTCTGCGGTACAGCCCCCGCCCCCCCGAGTCCCCGGCCGCGCACACGGCCGGCCGTCACCGAGCTTTGTCTGGTCGCCCCGGCAAGGTCACCGCTGCCAACCTCCCCTTGAAGCCGAGCCCTCACGGCAGGAGTTGGACTGAGCTGGTCATCGGATCTATTTTGTCCCCACGGCCCCACCTACCTTCCCAATTTCGGCGAGTTACGTCGGTGCCGCTGGCCCATTCTAC